CTGGTTGTAGGCCTTCTCTGTTTACTGCCTCATCATTGTCGTACTTCCCTCACCGCTGGAAAGATCTCCTGCAGTATCAACTCCTGATACTCCGAACATATTGCCAGTTCTACGGTTGGGTTTGGTTGTCCTACAACCGAGCATTTAGAGAGAATGCTATGGCGACTAACTTGACAGATTGGTCTCAACTAAACAGCATGCTGTTCAGCTTCCACTCGGCTGGCTGGTCCACGTGCTCTCCCCGCGATTCTTTGGATGACCAAAACGAGCTCCGCAGTGCTGCTTCGTCACAGATCACATGCAAATCATGGAACCGGGGCACTGTGTGGCCCCCTCAGCGTCGTGCCGTTTTGCTCAAAAGTGTGCCAGCTACCATGGCTGCACCGTGCTGGAGTTTCCCCGGCCAAGACGCCCAACAAGCCCAGCTCATCTTCTAAACGTTCTCCTGACTCCCCGCCTCCCTCGTGTGTAGACTCGCCCACTCCCTTTCGGCTTATAGCTTCTGCTCCCCACTAACCTTTCAGGCACCAGTTCCCAAGCTCATATATTTGTGATGAGTTTAATTATTATTATTGTTGTTGTTGTTGTTGTCGTCGTCGTCGTCGTCGTCATCATCATTATTATTTTTATCATCCTCATTATTAATGAAATATGAAAGATAAGGTACATATGATTCAACATTTACCCAACCGTTCACTACAGATGGATACTATTTATGGAACCAGTAAATGTAAAAAAAATTGGTACAGTGCTATTATAAATGTACATGTATGTACATGTACCAATTATAATGGTGTACATGTAACTATAAACATAGTAAGTTACCAGCTGACCAACCCTAAATTTTGAAATCACCAATTTGATGGAAAAAATGAAGGAGATGGCCTATGTTCTCAACGGCCTGCAGTACGGGTTCAAACTGGGTTTTCATCAGTCCCGTAGTAAGCTTAGGTCCGCTCAAAAGAACAAATTGTCTGCCTTTCAACATCCATCTGTCATCGATGACTTCCTGGCCAATGAGGTTGCCCTAGGCCGTGTAGTGGGCCCTTTCCCAG